CCCTGGTATGAAACTTTTTTTTCGGAAAGTTTGTGAACATTTTAATTTCAGACTTTAATGACTTAGATACATACGTTTTGACTATCTGTAGTTTCGTTCCTTCGTTGATCTACTCATTACCGAATTTGTTTTGGAAGAATCTGATTGCGTATTCATTTATGGTTTCGTTTTTTGTCTGACGATTATTTTGCTAATAAGACAGTTGTGTCAATCTGATTTTTCTCTTTTCTTTAAAATTTTACAGTCTTTATAATATTTTATTTTCTGTTCACTCACGTTCTTGTTGGATAATCCATACTATGAAACAAATAAACTAAATTTTCTAACAAACATTACTGTAAGTGAAAAGAAAAAAAAAAAGAAAAAGCGAAATATTTTTTTCTCAAAAAGTTTACTTTCATTGTTTTACGACATGAATTAAGTAAGAGTAATAAAAAGTATAATTAGACTCCTACGATTTGGTTGGGTGGTGGTAAACCAACCTACTAATTGCCTGACCACAATAACAAAAAATAGAAATGAATAAAAACCCTATAACCCCAGCGGTTTCGAAAGGTGGACCTTTCTTCTTCTTCGGGGGGTAAACTTCTTGAAACTAACGTGTTGTTCTAACATCATGAAAATAAAAAAAATATGAAGTTTCATATTCATAGTTAAAAAAAGTCTTTGGGGTAAAAGATTTCTACTCGTGGATAGTTCAGTTGGTAGAGTATTTACCATATTAGCCTAATGCCCTGAATTCAAGCCCCCCTTCTAAGAGTTTTTTTGTCTTCATTTATTGGTTTTTAACTCACATTCATTTAATTCTCAATTTTTTATATTTCTGGTATCTTCTTAATTTCTAATTTCTTTTATTTATATTTTTAATATATACGTACGTTTAAAGGTATAAGTTTATTTGTTTGTTTTTAAGTTAAGCACAAAGCTATACAATGGGCTCTCTGTGCTCTGCCCACCACGGGTATCGAAACTCGGTTTCTAGTGTTGTAAGTCCCTAAACGTACAGTTGTACCACTGGGGGGCTTAAAGGTATAAAAGATATATATATATAAGCGAATTTTTCTTCCTTTTCTTTTATTAATTTTTTCTACCGATTTCGTGACTTCAAAGGTCACTCTTCAGGAAATAGTTTTACTGAGTATCTGTGACAAAAAGCATACAAGTACTGCTTTTCCACTAAACATAAATAATCTAAGTTAAATACATATACTTTACAAATGTACAAACATATAATACAGCTTACATCTCTGTTTCCT